GTCATCTGTAATGTTAGGGCGTTTTCCATCAATTATTTCCAACATAAGCCCATTAGAATGCTTATCAAATGGTCTACAACCTGTTGTAAGTTCCCACATAATCATACCCATACTATAAATATCAGCTGCTTGTGAAAATGAACAGCCATTGAGTACTTCCGGCGCAACATAAGGCATCATTCCATATATTTTAACATTTGATGTAATATTATTTGCTGGTTGTGATAAACCTAAATCTCCAATTAGCCATTGTCCATTTTCCCATTTTTTATAATTATAAGATTTGACTAATAGGATATTTCCACTATGAAAGTCATGATGCACAAAACCTGCATCATGAATGGTCTGGAGTCTAATAATAATTAATTAGTTATAATAATATTATTATACAATAAAAATAAAAATATAATTACCCAAAAGAAATTTGCCATAAGATATTTAATTTATCCTTCCAAGTAATTCCCGAAAAATTATTTTTTAAAAATTCATGTAAATTTCCGCCATCTGCAAAATACATTACTAGCATATATTCATTCGTTTTTGGATTTTTTGAAATCCCATAACATCTTATTAGACGTTCAGATTTATAACATATGTGATTGGATTTTACCTAAATTAAAGTTGGTAAACGAACTTTAAAGATGTTAAACAAATTGAACCACAAATTTTAATACAATTACCTCTCTTAATATTTCTTCGATAATATTTTGTGAAAATGATTTGATGGCGATTGTCTCATTTCCTTTTCTATAACAAGATGAATATTTTTCACCATTTATTCCACCATCTAACCAAGTTGCTTTATAAATAGTACCAAATCCTCCATTCGCTACTCTTTCTAAATTTTTAATTCGAGAATATGGTATCCATTCTATAACGGCTTCTGGTTTAAAATTTATATATATCTTTTCTTTAAGGAACTTGTAAGCATTTAATGGATTGTTGTCATATTTATCTATTCCTTTAAAATTATCGCAATTATTAATTATATTTCTTTTATCGTAAACAAAATCTTCAATATCACAATTCTTTCCAATATTTAAATTCGTTTTCTTCATAATAATGCGCATTTCTCTTTTGCATTTATTACATTTTGATTTATCTATATACCCAAAGATAATACTTGTCGTTAGACAATATCTACAACCACTATAAATTATAAAGCAATGCGGACAACATTTCTGGTTATGATATTCATCTATTAGTTCTACTTTACATATTATACACATGTTAGATGTATCCCACCAAGGTAAATAAAGGATTGGAATAGCTTTTTTCGTCAACGTTGAATTTTCACATCCATAAGAAACTTGATAGCAATCTGAACATAACAAAAACTTGGTTACAATAGAAGCCCCTTCATGGATTGATTTTCTGCAGATTGAACAATCCTTAATACTTTCAACTATTGTATTATTTTCCTCAAAATTTTCATCGTAGGCTGGAGAATTTGTGAGTATCTGTTTAAAATATGAAATCCTTGAGCACTTTTCACACCACTCCCTAATATCTCGTGTACAAAATTCTTTATTCCTAATTATTTCATGTATATAACATTGAGTAAACGTCCTTATATGTACGTCTAAGTATGTATGATTATCGATTGTATCGTTAACATAACGTAAGAAGCACTTTTCACAATACTTTTGTTCAAATAAAATAGTCTCCGTATATGCACTTCCACAATGGAAGCAAAATTCACTATTTATTTTAAATGGAACAAATACAAACTCCTTTGAACTGGATCTTAAATTTAATGTAGTTTGGTCACTTATATTTGCGGGCTCCATTTTGTAAACCAAAAACATGTGAATCTGGAAGATTTATTTCGTTCAATGTTGTACACGTTCAATGTTGTACAATTAGAATTCTATCAACTACTTCCAATATGCATATTGTGCATCATTGTCGATCGAACGTTTATATTTGTAAATTGGAGGAAACACTTTGATTATATAGAAAATGCGCATTTTCTGTTCCCCAAGTAAATGGTGTGTTTGGAATATAAAGAAAAAACGGCCGAATAGCAAAATCAAATTTCTTTGTGATATGTTTGCTGTTCCATTTACATTGATTTCCTGAATAAATAATATTGAAACAACCTTTGATTTCTTCCATACAAGCTTTTATGGCTAATTTTCAAATTCACGACTCTTCTGAGAACATAAACTGTACAAGGATTCGTTATACCGAGTTTTTTTTATCGATCTGCAATATGATCGGCCGTCTCGTGACTTATGAATTCCCAAAAAGTCAATTTTATTTTTTTTTATTTTGATTACCTTATAACTTATATCTGATTTTATTAAAAACTTGAATAAATGTATTTAACAAACTGCTACATATAACAACATTGCAACAGCCAATAATATTTCGCATTTAGTATTTACAAAAAAAGGTTATTTTATTGGCTAAGAAAAACTCTCTCTCCTAATTTCCAAAAATACAAAGAAAATAATTTTGAAAATTCATACTAGGTCACTCTGCCTCATCAAAAAATGAAAACTAACTAAAAAACAAAATAAAGAAATCCTCTTTTACTATAAAATACTGCTAAAAAGTCAATCTCTAATAAAATAAATTAGAAAACTTCATTTAATATAAAAGTTCTAATACCTTCTATTATAGATAAAGGTAAAGTAAAGAAAATGAAAATCAGTAAATAAAGTTCCTTTAATCTAAGACTAAATGTATAATGTTTCAGTAAATTTGTTAAAAACTATTATCATAAAATAGTATTTATTTTAAATATATTATTAATATTTTTACTAAAAAAATAAATAAAAAAAATAAATATAACATGTATTTTGTTTAATAATTCAAATTTTTTATTCTTTATTGATTCATTTTTTCAAAATTACTTTAAAGCAAATTGTTCTTTTCTAGATTTAAATAGAAATTCTTAACTAATTGATTTTAATAATAACTTAAAGATTTATTGAAAAGTTTTATAAGAATCTTTAATAATAATGATAATAATATTTTGATTATAATTTTATTTGTTTAAAAAAGAAAGAAAAGCATTCAAAATTAGAACCCTTATTAACAAATTATCTACATTATTTAAATTAACTATTTACCACTCTAATATATTAAAGATTAGTAATATATAATATATAATTAAGCAGAAGAAAATTTTTAACATTTATGAATATGTCTAAAGAAAAAGAAGAAAATTATCAATATTAGATTTTCTTTATATAATTTTATAAATACATACATTCAAAGATGAAAGATCAAATTCAGAATAATTCCTTTTAATAAAAATATACATAAATCAATATTCATTAGAGAATTCATAAAATCAAATAAAATTTGTTTAATATTAAAGTAATTATAAATTTATTTTTATTTTTTCCTAATTTTGATAAAGAAAAATTTTCTCTCTTTTCAATTTTGATTAATATTCAAGTTTTTTAATATTCTTCTTTTATGATTAAGTTTAAATTTTTAGATACCTTAAAATAGTTAAAAAGAAAAAATTTAAAAGTATTTAAACTAAAATGAAGAAGAAATGTGGTAAATTTAAAGCTTTAAATACTTTATATTTTACTCTTAAATTTCTAATTCTTAAAAAAAATAGACTACTTTAACATTAAAATTTAATTTTTCATAAATTTAATTTTTTAATAAATAAAGATAATAACATTTAAATTTTTATTAAAAATTAATCATTAGAAATAATTTTTTAATTAATTAAAAGAGAGTTTTAATAATTAGTTAATCTAAATAAATTTAAAATAAAATATTGGAAATAATTATACAATTAATACTTGATATAACGAATTTTGATATAGTGAATTATTTGATATAGCAAATTTTTAGTGTGAAACAGATTTTAACATATGAAAAAATTTTGATATTAGTGAATTTTACTAATTATATTTGCTATAATCTTATGCGTAGTTAAGTTCTTAAACAATATATATAAAAATGACTCTTGATAAAATAAATTTTATTATAACAAATTTTTTTTTTACTATAATAAAGCATGTGATTTTATAATTCAATTTTTATTGGTTAATCAGTTAATTATATTATAAAAATGATTTAATTTCAAACTGCAATAACTCAGTTAATATTAATATTATAGATATAAAATATATACCATTTAAATCCTCTCAATGAGACAAATCTAATGATATAAAATTATAAACATCTAATCACTGGATGCTTAAATTGATCAAAATATCTTTAAATATTCAGTATAAAATATGTTCATCAATATTAATGCTATAGATATGAAACACCTACTATTTGAATCCTTTCAATGAGGTGAATCTAATGATACTAACATTATAAAAATCTAATCATTGTATGTTATGATCAATCAAAATATCTTTAAATATTTAATACAAAATAACTCTGTTAGTATTAAAGCTACAGATATAAATATATACCATTCGAATCCTCTTAACGAGACGATTCTAATGATACTAAATTTATAAAATTTCAATTACTAGATACTGAGATAATCACAAAATCGTATTTTTATTTTATATTACACAAAATTATATAATATCATGTTAACTTATAACAAAGGCCTAATTGGTCCAGACGCTTACTTCATTATATCAAGTGTTGACTGTAGTTTTGTTTTTTATTTTATTTTTATTTTATTTTATTTAAATTTAATATTTATATAATTACGTGATTTATTATTTGATTGCATAAATATTTATTAAATATGAATACATTTCAATTTTTTTTACTAAGTACTTTATTTTTACAATTATATAAATCATGTCCAGTTTCTTAATATCCTTTATATTGTCTTTGTTTCTTATTATATACATCTATTTCTTTATTTTCTAATAAATCACCCTCTGATTTTACATAATCGATCTTCACTTTTTTTGCTTTACAATTTTGCCTTCATTTAAATATCTATTTAAGTCATTCATGATGCTTTAAAGTGACTGGATTGTAATATTTAATCTCATTTTCTTTTTTAATAACACTATCTTTATCTGTTATTTCTTGATTTTTTGAAGTAATTCCTATTGTTTTTCATCAATAAAATTCTGAAAAATTCCATTTATTTTATTAAAGTAATCTAATTTTTGTGCTAAATCTAATAATTTTCTTGCAAGTCCTAAAGATCTTCTATATTTTGCTTTAGCTGAAATAATATTTTGAAGTTTTTTTGTGTAAATTTGCCCTTCACAAACTTAATTAAAATACTTAAAATTTATTTCATTAAAAATAACATCAGTATGATTATTCTTCACAAGTGATATTGTATCTAATATAGCTAAATAATTATCAGTCATATTTAGTTTTGTATCTTGATACTAGCGTTAATTTTACTTTTAAACTTTTTTTAAGAATTTTATAAAAATGTTTATAAGAAATTTCAAAAGATATTATGAAATTACAAATGCAAAAATGACTTTCATCCAATAATAAAATGATAAAATGAGATTTCTTTAAAGATAATTTGGGTTTAATCTGCCAAATTTCAATAATTAATGATGAATCTTATACTTTTTTGATCATATGCTAAAATAACATATGCATTACTTTATAATCATCCTCCTGATAACTATCTTGATAGTTATTCTCATCTATTAAATACTAAAAAATAAAAGACACAATATTTTATTAGTATTTAGTTTTCTAGTAATGAATGTTTTGAAAATAATCTAATACCTAAATCTAATTCTAACTTAATTCTAAACCCTAATTCTGACCCTAATTTTAACCCTAATTCTAATCCTAATCCCAAACCCTAATCCTAACCCTAATCCTAACCATAATTCTGCACTAACCCTAATCTTAAATCAAACTGTATATTGTATATAAACATATATCTGTTAAATATATTTTTGGTCAATTAAATATACTTTATAAAAAAATGATTCTTTCAGTTAATTTTATATTGCAGCAAAAATGTGAGGTATTAAAAATCTTTATAAATGTTATTGATATTTTCAAAAAATTTTAAAAGAACATCATCTAAACTTTGTTGAGGTAATAAATTTTATACTTGAATTATACATTCATATTTTACTTCATTATTAAATACATTTTGAATTTTCTAAACAAGTTGATATAAAAGAAAATTCTTTTAAATAACTTTTTTTAATATTTGATTGAGAGATTCAATTCATTAAGTACTATTCACTAGTCGAAATAGTCCAAATCGGCTAAAAATCAGATGGCTGATTTTAGGCTGATTTTAATATTATTTATAGCTATTTTCTGATCAGCACAAACAGGTGCTGATAGATGCTGATTGATCCCAATCGGACATGGCTATTTGGAACTTAAATTTAACCATAAATCAGCCTAAAACTGGTCTCAATTCAACAACAATTTAGATGTTAATAGACGCCAATCAACTCCAATTGGACATAGCCATTTAGGTTAAATTTAACCATAAATCAGCTTAAAATTAATCTTAATTCAGCATCATTTAGCATTAATTTGAAACTTAAATAACATAAATTGGCTTAAAATTAACCTCAATACAGTATCATTCAGCATCAATTCAGAACTTAAATAACCATAAATCAGCTTAAAATTGAT